TTGAAGGCTATAGCCGGTGCGTCCTATTTGTATAGTCAAAGACTACATACCTGTGACGTAACGTTTGGAGCAGGCGAAGGCTATGACCGGTGCTGTCTTATTTAAATACGTTGTCTTTTTTACCGGCGACAGTACGGCTATAGCCTTTCATACAAAAATCTTGTGTCAAGATAGGGTTACAAAATCAAGCAAAGTGTCCGCGAACGTGTTAAGATAATTCTAAATATCAAACAAGTGTAATATTACCATCTTTACTTTACTGACTGTTATCATTGTGAATACAATATTTTAATATGGACTAACTGAATAGTTCTCTTTACTACCGTTTCCTTCGACATCTCCGACATATAGATTAAGTCAGCCACTTTTTAGGTTCACTTAAGTACATTAGTACATGTTGTTCAAATGAACACTGTCAAACTTTACATAATTATTGTAAATAAGCAAAATAAAATTGTAAATGTGAGAGCCCTGCAATTAATTAAATTAAATTAGACTAGTAGAATGCATTTGTGTCAGCTTGGAATTGTCATGCTAACTCAAAAGTCTCATTGGCAGTGACACGCGCAGCGCTCGATCCTCTACAATATTCGTGAGTTGGGTGGTGCTTGTGAACGTGTCATATTTGAGAACAGGCGCTATCAACTGACTAGTCCCAGTTGAATGCAAATTTAATTGTTGTCCTTAAGGTTATTTTCTTTTTCTTTCTCTTTGACTGAATATAGATGTTACATTATTCTCACATAATTGAACCAACGAAACAATGCAACTAAGAATTTTGTATTGTAAACCGGATTGAAAAAGAGTAACCTATAGAGTTTCTTGCTCGTTCTTCTCCATATCATTAGATGAGAATGTAATGTGGCGCACATTTTAGAAAAAATACGAATCGATGTAATATACCTATATATAGTGCTGATAAAATCGAATTTTGCTCAAGCGTGAGTGTGTCTTGACTATAACAAAACCATTATCAGAATTTGCTTATTCCAGGATAGACCCTGAAAATAACATATCCAGTTGTCGGCTCACTGGCACAGGTATCACGTTTGAGTACTCTCATAATTTAATCACAATAAATGAATAAATATTACAAAGACCAAATTAATAACTTTTCACCCTTACCAAGAAACCCAAAATAACATTAATATTTGACATAATCAAACAAAATAGAAACAGTTAATGGATTTACATATTATTTTAGGCTGGACAATCGATACGAACATAAACTGGAAATCTCGTATCCTCAAACTAAAATCAAAAATCTCTCAAGTTCTCATATACCCTACACGAAATTAAAAAGACAACTGATTTACGAACTGCTATATTTATAATATAATATATAAATGTTTACCTACGGTATCATTTCGAGGAGAAACAGTACGGATGCTCAGTCATTGTTTACTTTAAAAAAAACCAATTCGTATCGTAGCCAACACACAGACCTATCAGTGGGTGGGGTGAGTAACCTATCAGTACTCTTAGTAGTAATTTTTTGCTTATTAGTTTTTTCTGTTTGTTATTAGTTTTTTGTTTTTGAAGTCGTTTTTTAAACGCAGTTTTAATTTTTTTTATTTTAAGATTTTAGTGTAAAGCTACGTTGATCCGTTTTGCCACTTAAAATCCGCATAGGTGAAAAGTACTAATCAGTACAAATATATCAAGCCCAAACAAAAGGTAGTTAATATTAACCGTTAAAAAGTTCCCTTAACAATTACACTTCTTCATCATCAGACCCTTCCAGTCAGTCCCACCTCCATCTAGGTGTAAAGTTCTCATTAGTCCAAATTAATCAAGCCCAAACACAAGGTACTTAATATAAACTGAGGAGTTCCCTCGATTGTTTGTCGGCTCCATCAATAGGTCGACTCCAGACCCTTATCCAATTGTAGTGTTTAAAAATACTAATTGAAAAATTATAATAGACGCATTACTCGCCCCTACTAGTTTCGAAAGTTCCCCTCGGTTTCCATAGGGTTACATCATCCGATTCTGACTTTATGGAAATGGGACCATCTCGGGATTAAAAAAGAGGTACATATCTTAAAAAAGTAAAGAAATCATTTTTAAAGTTTTTGAGAAACTGACAAATTTGGATGAACTAGCTGCAGCATTTGAGGAATAAAATTGTTCGGCCCAGACAATTATTAGATAGCTGTGCTGCTTTCAAATATTCCACCAACAAGTGCGGGTGCTCATCAACATTTATACCGTGTATATTATCAACTGGGTTAGGACATAATTTGAAACCCCAAGCTTGGGGTTGGGCAAAGCGAAACGATTTTCTGGAGCCTATCATGACAATTTTACAACCTGCTCCAGAAGATTTGCTAAATACAATTTTCTGCAACTGCAAGAGTGGTTGTGGTTCGCGATGCGGATGCAGGAAAGCGGGCTTGCAATGCTCTTTAGCTTGTAACCAATGTAATGGGCAAGCTTGTCTCAATGTTTCACCATATAAGAGTGACACTAACGAAGATGGAACCTTTCACCCCGAAATCATGGAAGAACTTGAGACAAATGTCGTTTTAGACGATAATGAAGACTAGTTTAAAACTTACGAGCAGCCAGAAGACGACGAAGAAGAAAGAGGAAGATGAAAATTTTAAATTGTAGTTTATGTATCTATGTTTTTACTATCAATAAGTTCATTATTTGTTTTTTATAAAATATAATATTATAAAGTAAATAAAAATTGACAAATATTTATAACCATAGATTTATCGATAGTTCATCAATTATCACTTCAAGTGAACCGGTGCCTCCGGTCGAAAACGCGCCATAAATATGCTGTGACAGCGCGCTCTCCGCCCTCGATCGCGAAAACGGATCACCGTATAAAAAAAAATTAACAAAATTTGTATTGAATTTTGTTATCTACAATATTGACATTAAATACAAATAGCAAAAAACTCAAAACCCATAGGAAATGAGATATTTCCAAAAAAAAAAGCGCAAATAACCGAAATGGCGTTGAAATGTAATAGTTGCTTACATATGCATATATGTAGCATATGTAGGTTTTAGACAACTTTTACGGTGTCAATATAAAAGTATTTACAGACTTGCAGCTGGGTACCTGTCTCGAATTCCGAGGCGAATTTACCATAATGACTGGACTATAACAAATTACCAGAAGACTTAAAAGAAATAGAAAAATCCAGTATATTTATAATAAAATTTGAGCAATATTTGATTAAAAAACGTTATTACACCTTAGACGAATTCCCAAATGATAAGTTGACAACATGATTATCTATGTCTAAGCTAAAAAATAAATGACGTAACATTACTAAACAATAGACATTACAATACAATTTACATAAACCACACAAATGAGTTACCTAATACTAAATTAAATAAACTAAAATTCAATTACCTTAAATTAATTAAAAATGTAATATAATATATATCGATATATATTATATTACATTATTAATTAATTTTTATTATTATATATATCGATATATATTATATTACATTTTTAATTATCGATATCGAACACTTGGAAAAAGTACAGCGTAGTTTTACCAAAATACCACGAGCACTGAAACAGCATCCATATGAAGAGCGCTTGAAGGTTTTGAACTTAACCACATTGAAGGATCGCAGGCAGCGTGGGGACCTAATTGAGACATACAAGATCTTGAGTGGACATTATGACATACTGATTTCGAGCAACTGTAACAGTGTCTCACGTAATGAAAACGTTCATCTTAGAGGCCACCTCCTTAAGCTGTGTAAAAGCTTATCGAAAAATATTCCTCACAGACACTTTCTGAGTAATCGCGTGGTCGGAGCATGGAACAGGCTGCCAGAATATGTAATCGCTGCACAGAATGTTAACCAGTTCAAAAACAGACTTGACAGATACACAACATCGAATTAACCACTGATAGAAGAATACGATACAGGCATTTATCAGTTGTTTCAACTGCCTGTCTGAATTAAATAAATAATAATAATAAAAAATAATAAATATATATAAAGACTGAATAGAGAACATCCACACCTTACAATAATTTAATTGCCTAATACCTACTTCAATAATTTTGACATTACATTAATACAAGACGTGATCTCATTAGAGTATTATTACACATAAATTCATATATTACATTGTAATAGATTTTTGTGATCTCATAATTATTGTTTGTCATTTTCTTTCATTTTGTTATAATTGTTTATTTTAGAAGCAGTCAATTTATTTTGTTTGTTAAGTTGTCAATATTAATAGCTGTTAAGTGAAGTACCTAGTGTTTGTCTTTAGGCGTTATATTTAAGATTTAAATTTTATGATTACCTGTACATATAAATAGTTACTTGGAGTTTTAAATATTTACTTTAACAGTTATATTTTAAGGGGAACTTTTTGTTTTTATCCGAATTGTTGTATCTAGGTTAGTACAAGTCATAAATTAAAATTTAATATAATTAGATAATAAGTAAATATTGAAATAAGCATTTGTAAGAAAGATGGCCACACTAACGTATTGGATTAGTCTGTAATGGTAGTTTTTAGCATTAAATAAATAAATAAATAAATATGAAACCAGACCCCTCCTCTACTACCAATTTCAAATGTTGGTGCCCCCGACGGGGTCTGTAAATGTTACTAATATTTCTTCTGACCATGTATGTGATGATGATGATGTACGTGTACATTATGACTGCAATAATTACTCGATTACTATGTTGAATATTGGATTAAATGAAACATTATTATATCAATGAAATGTGTCTATGATGGACAACTTTTTTTTACATGCAAAAAAAACTTGTAGTAAATTCTTTAACCCATAAATTACCAAGCGGTCACCGGTGACCGCTTTCCACTAATATTACATTACATTATAGACCTTATTTGTAATGTTTAGAGAATACTTTTGTATGACCAAATTTAGGGGGTGGATTTCAACGGGTTAAGACCCATTGTTTTTCCAATAGTATTATATTGTTAATAAAAAACAGGGTTAAATAAAAAAAGATAAAAGATATATTCCATATAATAAAACTGTAAAATGATAATAGCAAAAATAATTATACCCATAAATAAAAAAAATGTTGGCATTGTTGTCTCCATGCGTTATCTATAACAAAACAATAAATTGATTAGACAAATTGATTGATTTTCTTTCTTACACAGTTGTGTGATTTGATAGAAGTTCAACTCACCGGTGTCTTTCCAATGTTTGGATTAATGTCAGCCTCGCTCTTCAACCAGCCTGTAATGCTTGGCTTGTCGAAGTTGGCGCTGCCTGGGATGCCACCAGTCGTGTCCTCTCAGAGTCGATGTCATTTGAAACAACTCGGGAGATTTAATACCCGAACACAGATATTGTGTTAAACACAGCAGGCCAATATTGATTTAACCTGCTGTTTCTGGGCAGTAATGATGTTCTCGAGCTGAGACATCGCCATCGACCCTTGAGGACACTAACCGTACATTCTATGGTAGAGCGTGCACGTTTTTGGAGGGAATTATACCTTCCCTCTGGAGAGTCCTCGGTGGCATTATCCACCAGGGTCATCATATACTCCCGCAGAGCATAACCAGAATCACCTGACAATAATAACATATTAATGGAAATTGTATGAATATGATACACAATATTACATACATATTAATGACAAATTACTACTGCCTCGTTGGCCGAGTGGTTGCAAGTGCAACTGCCAGGCAAAGGATCTCAGGTTCGATTCCCGGGTCGGGCAAAGTATTACTGGGTTTTTTAAAAATCTCAGTAGTAGCACGGAGTCAGGGAATGTGCCCGGTGTATGGCAAAAGGCTCACCCCCTATTACATGGGAGTCATAACATAATTAATGAATAGTGAGTATTACATTGTACAGTGGTATTAAGTGCCGTAATGTGCACCTCTGCCTACCCCTTCGGGAATAAAAGGCATGATGTGATGTTTTGTTATCTACTTGTAAATTTAATCATTTACAATAGATATTTTGTAAACACTTACAACTTGTGTGTTGATTGAATGAATATTTTCTATTGAATTGCTCTTCATGCTCCAATGGTCTTACGATTGTTCAATCAGCATTGATTGGGTGCATACCCAATAACTCCAGGTATCCCATACTTCTCATAGAATCTACAATAATACAATGTTATAGTTACAATAAATGAAATAATAATTTATAATCCAACATGCTGTCTGTTTCTATAATAATAACAAAAGTACGAAAAGATTTTAAGGTGACCGGTATTAAATGACAGATAATTTAAAAAAATATCAGACTTCTTACATATCAGTGGGTGGGTAATCTATCAGTACTAATCATAGTTATTTTTTGCTTTTAAGTTTTGACTTTTTGTTTGTTATTAGTTTTTGGTTTTTTTGAAGTCGGTTTTTTAAACGCAGTTTTTATTTTTTTCGTTGGCTTTCAGAAAAGGCACAAAAAATAAGATCTTTATTACACACTCGAAAACATATAAGAATGGAGAGTAAGTTGCTTTGTACTACAGGACCAATTGCCTGAATATCATTAAGAGATTTTCCTGATCTACTCTTAGCTGAAGCATCAAAAACTATTATTAACTTAGTTGTTTTATGTCCTTCTCTTACTACACAGTGCTAAGGCAAGTAGAACCCGAAAGGTGGGGCTTCAATTTCAACGAAATTACCTAAATTAGCATAATCATTTATAAAATTTGTATACTGATCACTAAGTTTCTCATGTTGCCAAATGGCTGCTTAGGATCTTCCTTTAGCAGCATCATGACAGAAAACCGACCGTCAGATTTCCACATCCGATCAACTGCTGCGAAAAAATGAAAAGGCACCACGCTCCATACAATTTTGGTCATTGTCATATAGAGATCCCTAAGTTCTAAACTAGAAGGTGTTTTAGATTTAAAACTTTGTATGTAGTTTTAAAATGCACATAATCTACTGCGTATAACACCGCGCCTTTGAATGAGAAGAAACCTTTCAACGAGAGCCTCACTATTAACCATTTTTGAACCTTCGTTCATAAATTTACGGTATCAAACTACGCGCCTAACCGACAATGAGCAAGGTAAAGCTATAGGTAGTTAATAAATGGTTCACTCCCACCGGCCGCCAACCGCAAAGACTACGCAGCAGCCGCCGAGCCTACCAGCAGCGCGTCCCAAGACACAGCTACACACTGCCGCCAAACCCGTCAATCGGACTGAAGGAAGAGTCGTCTGTAGGCGCGCAAGCACGAGCAGGATGCTGAAAATAGTCGGAGTAAGCGTAAGCACGTGGCATAGAATCATGCAGTCAAGGCAAGATGCAAAACAAAATGGCGTTTTCGTGCGCGTGAATCTTCACGAAGTTATTAGTTTTCAAAATATTGAAATTAGACACAAGAATTCAATATGCACACGTAATTATGCAAGCGTTATATTATTACTAGGTATTAAACTGTGCAACACCGAGCGGTCACCGGTGACCGCAACCTATTATTCTTTAATTGTGTCTATAATGACGGTACTCAACAAATCAGCTACCTAAAATTGGCCTTATGACCCGAAAGCCAGCAAGTCTGACACAAAATCACAAATCGGTGTGATTCAAGACAAAGAAAGAAAAATGTGAAGTTTTCGCTGCGAATAAAATCGTTTAGGAAAATAAGTAGGTACGCGTAACAGCAAGATACCTTTCCCAAGACTTAGATGACTACTCATCCGCAAAATATTTCATCCGCGGATGAAACGTTACTCTTTTAAAATTGTAAGGCGACGAATCATCCGCAACTTCGGATGAGTCGTTGCATAGTTAACATTGATGTGGTCATATCGGCCAAATAGACGAACAAACATATTTTGTGTATAGGAACATTGTCTGTTCTTTAGTTTCATCGGTTTCACTAGCTGCTATGAGTAATAAATCGAACAAAAATACTTCTATGCATAAGAATCGTTTTTATTAAGAATATAATTTTTTATACTGGTGAATCAGAATAATAAGCAATTTCCCTAAACAAATGACAGGTAGTTACTGTTTTACTGCGAAAAATGAGTTAAACTGTCAAACACCAAGCGGTCACCAGTGACCGCAACCTATTGTTCTATAATTGTGTCTATAATGACGGTACTCGACGAGTTAATGTTATAAATATGAATACATTTCAATAGTTTGGTAATACTTAAATAACCAAATATTTACGACTACCGACGTTTTGTGCAACTTGTATCAGCGGTTTGAAAAACGAAAGATTTGAGGGTATTTAGAAAATAATTGAGACAAGCTAAGTTGTTTTGTCATGAATATATTTTGTTAGCCAGTGTACGTTAAGTTGACAGAGTGTACGTTCATCTAGTTAATTACTACATATTATAGTCAATTAATTAATAATAGAATTGAATAAAGTTTTTATGTTCCGGTGCGTGGGAATAAACTGAGTTTTCATATTCCATGCGGGTGATTGAGCTGCCTTGAGGTCAGATATTTTATTATTACCTATCCAAGAAAAATAAAACTCAAAACATTGTAACATTGTTTAGTTTCTATTTTAGAATCACAATTATGGACAAGGAAAATACGCGAATTAAAATGATTTCTTCGCAACGAGGAGGAAAACTTTTAATGGAAGGAAACTATCGTTATTATAAAAAACGTGAAAATAAAAACGGACATATAGTTTGGCACTGTGCTTCACAAAATTGTAAATCTAATTTGGTTACTAACTATGATTGTAACCTTATACTGAAAGAAAAACTTCATAGTTGTCAGTCTAGTAGTTTAGATAACCAATTATTGGAGAAAATTGACGAATGTTTAGAAAGAGCAAAAACTGAAAGTACTCCTATACCTACAATTTATAAAGACGCGGTAGAAAAATTAGAGTCTACAGGATTAGACTTAATCATAAAAATACCAAAATACAACAATTTCAAGAAAAGAATGTATAAACTACGTAATAAAGAACTGCAAACTAAAAAGGTGCGATTTTTTAAATTGAAAGATGTTACAGTTCCTGGTGTTCACAAAAACTTTTTACTTGCTGATTATAGCGAAAAAAGTGACAGGATATTACTGTTTGCTACTGAAGAATCCAAAGAAATTCTCAAGAAAGCTAAACATGTTTTTTGCGATGGAACATTTAAAGCCGTTGTACCTCCCTTTAAGCAGTTGTATATGTTACATGTTGACATGGGCAGTACTTATACACATACGAATATTATACCAGCAGTTTATGCCTTATTGCCAAATAAAAAGCAATCAAGTTATGAAATTTTCTTCCATCTCTTAAAAAGCCAAATTCCCGAATTTGATCCTGAGTCCATCACTATTGATTTTGAAACCAGTGCAATGACAGCAGCTAAAGCTGTATTTGATAAAGTAACTACTCGAGGGTGTATATTTCATTTTAAAAAAGCTGTCCAAAAAAAAGCTAAAGTGATTGGAATTACAAAAAAATCAAACATGTCAAGGGCTCACGTGAGCCGTTGTATGGCGTTAGCATATCTCCCAAATATTGAAGTTTCAGATGGTTGGCTTTATGTATTGGGTGAATGTATACAAAATGATAAAACAGCGCAATTTAACCATTATTTTCAAAATACCTGGCTAGAGAAGATATCTGTCTTGTCTGATAAATGGTGTTTTTATAATATCCGGCACAAAACGAATAACGCTATAGAATGGTGGAACTCGAGACTGAATAGGACAATAAAGAGCAAACCTAACATAGCCGTTTTATTAAATACTCTTAAAAAAGATGCCAAATATCATTCTAATCTGTGGAAAAATCAAGGATTTATTTCAAAGAGAACGGAAGAAAGTATGGTGAGGGAAAAAAAAATTAATAACAGTTTGCGAGAGTTTATTGATAATGAAATTAGCCTCGGACATTGTATAGAGAAATGGAATGGAAATGGATAATTCTTAATAACAATCTATTTAGATTTACTCATTTTTGTAACATTAACTCAATTTTCGCAGTAAAACAGTAACTACCTGTCATTTGTTTAGGGAAATTGCTTATTATTCTGATTCACCAGTATAAAAAATTATATTCTTAATAAAAACGATTCTTATGCATAGAAGTATTTTTGTTCGATTTATTACTCATAGCAGCTAGTGAAACCGATGAAACTAAAGAACAGACAATGTTCCTATACACAAAATATGTTTGTTCGTCTATTTGGCCGATATGACCACATCAATGTTAACTATGCAACGACTCATCCGAAGTTGCGGATGATTCGTCGCCTTACAATTTTAAAAGAGTAACGTTTCATCCGCGGATGAAATATTTTGCGGATGAGTAGTCACCTAAGTCTTTCCCAAAGCTTAAAACAGCAAGGAACCACACAACAAGCAGATTTCAGTCAGAAAGAATAATTTTAGGGAATAAAGGTACGTGATGGAGTTACGAACGGACTTACTTCTTTTACGATCTCCACATTGCAGTGCAGATGGTATGCAGGACTTGAACGAAATACGAAGTTGCATCGCTAGCCCCCCGTTGACCGTTGCCCCTCGGAGCTCGCAAGCCCATAGACTGGCCTAGTTAGTTTCTATCTATTCTTTGATCCACATTATGGCGGCGACTCGTTGACGCGATGATGCAACCGATGCTCCCCAATCCCGATCCCAACCGACGGGTTCAACTTACTGTCACGGTCGGTCGCCACTTGTTGCTTGATCCGGAATAAAATGGCTGACTAATTTATTGTTTGTTTGAGACTTGAGGTTGTGGTGAAAATATACCATACTAATTAGTGCGGAGCACGCGTACAATATTTGCGGGGTCGGAATGCGTGCAGTGTCACGCACGACACGGAGTCACAGTCACCGACTCGACACCGAGGTCCGACTGTCCGAGTGGCGGGCGGGGCGAGTGCTGTGATGCTGTCGCGGCGGTCGTGGTGGCGGGAACCCCTATATTTATTATACACTTTGGTGTCGGGCCGACGGCGATTTGGTTCTCGCACCACCCGTTCTCGCACGGTGCGGTGGTTCGTTTGAAGTTTTGAACGTCAACGTAGTGTACTGCGTTTACTTACGCTTCCTACACATATAGTTCCTTATTAAATAGCAGGTACTTAGTCTTAGTATTCACTGGTTTGGTTTTGCAATAAAAATTTATGTCAGCTGTCAAAAAACAAAAAACCGCGCGAATGCCCGAAAGAGATAGTGTTGCCATGTTCAGGACAGAGACTAAATCAATGCACGATATTATTTGGTAGCTTGAAATACTTAACAATATTATTAGCTTTGTATTGTAACTTTCGTCAGACATCCTCGTAGTGATACCTATGTATTTAACATATCACTGCTGACACAAGTACAAATAATATCTTTATAAATAAATTAACACGTTTTCTCGTAAATAAAAGCTACTATACAATTGACGAATATTTCAAGACAAAGATCTAGTATAATAAACATGAATAAAAGTAACCCGCAAAATAACCGTGTAACAATGTACTGATATACGTACCAAATAAAAATAAAATATATAATATATATATAATAAGAGGTACGATAATAATTTATGACGAATGTATATAATTATAATAATAATAAAATTATCATTCGTACAACTTCTAATTTCGCTACTAGAGGCGCGCGGATAATCTTTGCATCTTTAACATCACCATTAGTTGTAGTTAATTTTAAGTTGTAAATATTTATGTAGTTATATGTATATATTCGAGGACCGCCCTGAGGACACGGTGGAACACACTGTAGGTAGCGGAATTCCCTGCGTGGACTTTAACACCGCCGTGCCCTCAGGGAAGTGATCGGCGATAGCGACTTCTCGCCTCCGGGCCTAGTGCAGGTCATGATGCGGGGCGAGGGGGACTGGGATGCCGTCTCCTCCTTTTGCGAAGCAGTTATGCTAGCTAAGGAGGAGGCGGGACGCGTGGTCACAGTGTCACACCGGGCGTCGGGGATCGCGAGACGATCTCCGGCCACCGTAAGCGCGGGCCTGCGGACGGCGAGCATGGGTGGCTCCCCGTACAACCAGAAACAGACCCGAGCGTACGGCGCGTCGAGTTCCGGGCGCGCCTCAAAGAGCCATCAGACCACCACGGATGGGGCCCAACAGGGCTGATGCCGATTTGGAGTCGCGGAGAACCTAACGGGTTACCTGGGCTCCGGCTCGACGTGCAGGAGAAGGAACGGGGTGATTTTTAGTCAGTAAGAGTCTCACACTCCCTCCCGCCTCACCCAGGCGGGAGCAGTCATTCGATGATTTATCCCACTTAAAAAAATTATAATATATTATTATGTTCTCAATAAAATACATTCGCTTTTATAAATAAACAACTATTTATCCGACATACAACTTAACGTTTATATACATATGTATGACAACCTATAGCTGTGTTTAAAGGGGGAAAATCATCGAATGACTGCTCCCGCCTGGGTGAGGCAGGAGGGAGTGTCAGACTCTTACTGACTAAAAACCACCCCGTTCCTTCTCCTGCACGTCGAGTCGGAGCCCCGGTTACTCGTTAGGTTCTCCGCGACAACCTATAGCTGTGTTGGAGCCGTACCAGGGAGCCGTAGCCGTTTAACATAGAGTAAAATAATATATCGGGTAGTTAATATGCTTGCTATGTATGACCTTGAGAAGATCAGGCGATGATCCTCCTATGGGAATTTCCGAACTTGCAGTAGGTAAGTAAAATATACTATGACCGATGACGTTCACAGTTCACTTTAAATGTCATTGTCATACTACTTTGAAATTTGTTGAATATTTTAATGGTGTTTGTTTATTTTTTTTTCACTCAATTCAATGGACAATGACCTAAATTAAACGACAATTACAATTGTTAAAATTTAGACAAAGTATGCTGCATAGTCATAACATCGGTATAATTTGTAACCTGTTTATGTGAAATGGTATTAGGCGATGGCCTAATTACAAATCATAGGTACGTGTTATACAATAAACTTTACCAAGGTTTAATAGGTAATTCCTTTCATATGCCAGCGAACCATCTGGTTTTCGTATCTCGAGTTGAGCTGAGTGCCAATGCTCGTATCATATTATTATTTACCTTAATTTTTTATATAGTCGTAAAGCAGATAAAACATTTTGAGTCTGACTAAATATAAAAACATCATGTACATTATTTACAACGTTATTTACAGGCACAGTATATTGCATAGCATTCAAATGCTTCACTTTTGTGTTTAAGTTTCATACTGCTAGTAGTATTTAACTGCAAGTCATAGAAAGCTGCATTTACATTGTGATCAGTTTTAGATCCACCTGTATAAATAACAATGTGGTCTATTGTCTAAAAGTGGATTGTGAAAGTCTTAATAAGCAAGCAATAATGCTATTGTAATTTGTAAGGAATTTCATACAGAGATTATAATTTTTGTCTAAGTAAAAGCTTCAAAAGATATTAAATTCATCACCACAATATTAAAAACATTAAAAATATTGTGATTTCAGATAGGAGTCCATTAAGTAAAGAAGAAGTAAAAGCGGCATTGAAAAGTATCAATCTATTAGGTATAGGTATAGCTAGGTAGGTACAATTAATTTTACAAGTGAAGTATTACTATTTGATACCATGCCAAAATCTCTCAACCAACAACAACCTTCGTAGTGGCAAAGGAGGTACTTATACAAGTTTCAACCTTAACCCTCTTATTAATAAACATAGAATAGAGTAAGAATAACTTTACTCCATGGTTTAGGCTCAGAATAGTCAAATTCGGTATTAATAAACAAGGAGTAACGTCGGACTAAGCTATTCCAACGTTAGTCTGAGAATAAAAGTTAGTCCATGGTGCCACATGGTTTAGCGACGGTGTAAGCTTGGATTAGTGTCATTTTGACATTTTGTTGATAGACATTTTTTTCTTCTTTATTGACAACCGAGTTTCCATCGAGTTTCCAATATGGTTTTGATGACCAGTATCGAGTGGTGTACGGCATTATCAGATAAAACCTATTTTATTATAACCTATTTCCTTGCGTTGCGGCATTACTAAGAAGTATACAGGTACAAGACTAGCTATACCCCCACGACTTCGTCCGCGTATTATAATGCCTTCTGGCAGAATGTGGGTTTTTGAATAAGTCTTTTCCGAGGTTAATTCTAATGCGCTTTAACAAATCTCATCAAAATCGATTCGGTACTTGTTATATTTATTGTAAAATGAATTATTTTTCGTGATTTCAAATAATAAGCATTCGCACATAGGTTTTATCCGTGTAGTGTACATTCCCGTGAGTTATCAGTAAGAAAAATTATTCAATGTTCTGTCCCGGGCTGCAAACCACTGTTGTACTGAATTTCAATAAAATAGGTTCAATGGTTTAAACGATAGAGTCCCGGAATATTAAAGCATAGGGTCTTTCTCGTGGGATTTCCGGGACAGAACTATTATCTTTCTTATTTATAATATTAGTGCAGATTATGAGTGACTATACTAGCTTTTGTCCACGGTTTCGCTCGTGTTCTTTTATGGAGTTGGGGTAAGATTTGCATAAAAATGAAGCCACGAAGTTTTTTGTTAGTCACAAATAGTCAAAATGCCAATTTTAATCTTTCTTACTTGAAAATTGTGAAACGTTTTATATAAACCCACTATTTTAGGGAAGTAGGGGGCTAGAAAGAGACAGAAAGTAGCCCATCTCACTTTTTATCCCTTCAAATACTTATCTCAACTTAAAAACACGTCAATTCGCTTTGTTTTGTAGCGGAAGACGAACAAACAAACAGGCACACACACTTTCTCATTTATAATATTAGTATGGATTCGATTTTTACGTAAAAACGCAACAACTTTTTATAAATAAAACGTCATACTATCATTGTAATACGTGGTAAAATGGATAGATATTATTTTATTCAACATCTCGAGTTATTGAGAGAATTAGAGTTGATGAGGTTGAAAATCGACTTCGAGTATAGAAGTGTGTAGCACTAGCTTTTCTGCCAGCGGCTTCGCCCGCGTTCCCGTGGAATAAAAAGCTTTCGTGTCATTTTAGAGTTCCAGACCTTAATAGGGGTCTATATGTATCAATTTTCATCTCGATCCCTTCAGCAGTTTTGATGTGAAGAAGTCACAAACATCCAATCTTTCGTACTTATATAATATTGGTAGAATAGAGAAACGTGATGAAAAAGAGAAATCAAAATACCGATTTACTGCAGTTTTTATTATTAACATAGTTAAAAATAGTCTAGCTGGTGACGCAAGAGGTGGCTTTATCCTACTACTATTATAAAGGCGAAAGTTTGTATGTATGGATGTATGGATGTTTGTTACTCTTTCACGTAAAAACTACTGAATGGATTTGAATGAAACTTTACCACAATATAGCTTATACATCAGAATAACACATAGGCTA